GGGGGACTCCAGCTTACAGACAGCAGTGTGGGTCTTCTCTCTTTCCGCTGCTGGTGGAGAGGCCCCCCGGGACACTGGGAGCCGCTGGGAGCCAGGGTCCCCTTATCTCCCACATGACACCTGGAGTCAGGCCAGAGCCCTGCCGGGAAGGCAGCCGGGAGAGTCATTGGAGAGCCCTGGATGAGCCAAAACGTCTGGCCCTTCCCAGCCCCACTATCGGGCCACAGCACGGCCGAGCACCCCAATTCCTGCCCCAGTCCCTACCCTGGTCTCAGGGAAGCTGCTAGGACAGGGCAAGGCGACCACGTGGGATAGGCACAGGGGCTTGCAAGGCCCTGGGGACCCCGGGACAGGCCAGTGACGCTGCAGGGACCCTGGGGGGCAGGGATCTGTGGCAGGACCCCCCGGCAAGAGCGCAGCTAGGACCCGAGGGTGCTGGCAACCAGCCCAAGGCCTGGGGCCAGCCCACCAGCAGCTGCCAGCCCTGGCCGGTGGGGCCCCCCGGGGAGCTGCAGGGCACCGAGCCGGCAGTGACGAGTGGGGATCAGAGCCGAGGTGCGAAGCAGGCCCCCCCCCCCATATCCCGCTCCGGCTGCCCTCTCCCAGATGCAGGGCTGACTCCAGCAGGCAGCGGGGTGCTGGCAGGAGCCCACCACAGGCAGGGAGGTGCTGGAAAAGCCTCTGAGCCCAATGCCCCACCTGCATCCACCCTCTCTCTTGGCACGATACAGAGCAGGCAGGGATCTCCTGGCACGCCCCAGGACCCCACCTCCTCATCCATTTTTTTTTCTAGAAAGTCGCCCTTTGGAGAAAAGCCATGTTTGCCATTATCTCCCAAACCTTCTTGTGGTCACGGCGCCCCGTCACCCAGCAGAGCCCTTGACGTAGGGACCTGCCTGCCCCACAACACCTGCCAGAAACCCTCTCCAAAAACCACAGCCCTTGCCAGCAGGCAGCACATGGAGCAGTGGCATCTCGACAGCCAGGAGAGGAGGTGCTAGGGAAAAATAAGAGCGGGTTTTAGGGACCCTTTAGCAGGGTGGTCCACGAGGCAAGCAGAGAGGTGAAGCTCGACAGGAACAAAAGCAAAGCACTCCATCAGAGAGCCACCATGGGATGCTACGAACATGAGTGGGCTCCAAAACACCCGCTACGTGGGGGGTGGGGGCTACAAAATATGATGTTATCCAAAAAAAAACCCCTCACAGGCAGCATCTTCACAGGGTGTGAGAGGCCAAAAGCAAGCTGGGGTTGGGGAGCTGGTCCCCAAGGATTCATCCCAGTGTGGTGTGCGTTATGGGGCTGGTGATGCTCGTTTTGGAGAGGAGGCTCATCCCCATGGGCTTCATCCTTTTTCCCACAGGACTGGGAGAAGGGAGGC